CCTTCGGGCGCCGAGGACGCCCCCGGCGGGGATCAGCATGGGAGGCGCCCATTGACTCTGAGCCATCGCCGCCGCGGCCAGCCAGGACGTCGCCGCTGCGTCACGGGCTGACCCTCGGACATGGCCTGACCCGACATCTCCTCGGGAATAGGAACGTGGACACCTCCTGGTCCGAGCATCTGAGGTTCCGTCGTCGCGTCGCTGCTGCCGTCGCCGCTGCCTGCCCCGACTCGGCCAGCTGCCTGATCATGTTCTCCGTTTCCTCCTGCACTCTGGAGTTGAGGTTTTTCTTGCCTGTTGAGACCTTTGGGCCGGGAGGGCCGCCACGAACATCAGCCGGCCTGACATGGGGCCGGACACGCACGAGTCGCGCTCGGCGACACCTGTTCCCGCGAGGGATCGAACGCCGAAAGACTAGCCAGCTCGAGCCACTGGCTACGGAGAGACGTGCCAGGGGTGCCCTGAGTCGTCCTCCAGCGTCGGCGTTCTCCTTAGTTGTCCCATGAGATCCCGAGGCCAAGACCTGTCCTGGGAAGCCTGACTGAAGCCGTGACTGGATGAGCCTGGTGAGGACCAGTGCGAAGACCACCCAGACGCCCTTGAGAGCCTTCGGGAAGTTCGCCGAGTAACTTGTCATAGTCCTACTCCTAATAACTCCCAGAGTGATGAGGATGAGGCCTGTGACACAGATGACCGTGTAGCATCGCACCTCCTCGCTGCTTAGCATCTCCAAGGGGTGCCCCTGACCCAGCACAGACGACTGATCGTTCAGACAAAGATACTGCAATCGAGCGGACTCCGGCAAAGGGTGCACCGGGCCCGCGAGCCCCTGTAGAATGTCGGCCACACGATGCCCCGACCCCAGACGGGCCAGGGGGATGTCTGCGTCGAGGGTCGCCGGTCGCATCGCATTGTTCGGCAAATCTGTGACGCATCCTAGGAAATCTAACAGATTCACGCCGAGAATGCGAGGCGCGTCCTCACCGAGCACCATCGTCTCGACGATGCCGAGAACGCCGCCGAGACACAAGGGAGACAAAATGCTCCCGATCACGGTGGCGAGACCGCCCACTCCGCGGGCTGCCCTGGGCCTCTGGCTGGCCTGGGGTATGGTCTCGGACTTCAACCCGTATTTCGCCCTCGCCCGGGACTCGCGGTCGGGCGCCTCCAGGCCCACCAGGCCCCCGGCTGCCCCCGGATCGACTAGGCCCTGAGTCGGCTGAGTGACCAGGAAGTCGCCGCCTGCCTCCACGATCTCCAGCTGGGCCCCACTCACGTCCTCCAGCTCCTCCGTCGTCACCTCCTGGATCAGGTCGTCGGCCACCGCGCAGCCGTTGAACGCGTAGGCCAACATGACCTGGCGATCCGGTCGGCGGCGGCCCTTCTTGTTCCTCCTGTCGGGGTCAGGACACTCGCGGCTCCAGTGCCCCTTCTGATCACACAGCTTACATCTGGTTATCTTCATCAGCTGCACGATGGACAGTCTCGGCCGCTGACCAAGACCTCGACCTCCTACGCCTCGACCACGCCCTCTGCCTCGCTCGAACCTCTTGGCCGGGATCGTGGATGAAGGCGCCACGCCGGATCCAGCCCCCTTCGCCTTGGCCCCGAAGTACTCACAGTCTCGGCGGGCCGCGAGTTTCATGTGTTTGTTATGCTTCCAGGTCCTCCTGTTGTACTTGGCCTCGAAGGCTGCCAAGAAATCCTCTACCTGGTCCTCGTCGAGGTCGAGATCCTCGGTCTCAGCAACCAGAGCGGTCAGGTCATCCTCGTCTATCTCGTCTGCTTCGTCGAAGTCTTCCTAACCCTCGCCACCTTCGACCTGACCCGGAAGATAGGAGGAGGAGGAGGAGGAGGAGGAGGAGGAGGAGGAGAGAAACTGAGCGTCGGGATCGGGATCTTCGTCCTCGATGTCTTTCTCAAAAAGAGCACCCGCGGCCCTCGAGCTCGAGAGGAGCCGCTCAGTCCCCGATGCATCCATCTGCCTCAATGCCCATGCGACCGACTCGAAATCCAGGTTCCCACGAGTCAGCGTTCTGAGATTCTGCATGGACTGGGTAGAGAGCTAAGCTCCCTCTCCTAGCATCAAACCTTTTAGTTTGCTCGATAGCCACATGTCGTTGCCTTCTGCCTCGACGAACTGAGATTTTCTTCTGCTCACAAACTGCATCAGGGACTCTTTCGCGTCTCTGATTCCTTCGAACAACGCCCGTCGTCCTGATATCCTCAGCTCGTCTCCTTCTCTCTCTCCGATGAGCAAATCCATCCTGGCCAGAAGCGCGTCGAGCCAGCCGGGACCAGTGAGCGTCGCCTCGGGCAGGTCTGCGAACTTGGACTGCATATTCCAGTCGAAGAGGCGAAGGAACTAGCCGCATCTTCTCCATACTTGGACGTCCGTGTTACTACTCCATCCCCTGATGGCCCTCTTCCACATGCGGTAGTGCGTCCAAACCGGCCAAGCCGGCGGATCGGTGAAATCACCACGTCCTCCGCCAGCCCAGCCTGACGACCAGCTCCCTGATTGCCGTTCTCCTCGGTGGCTCGTCCAGGGATCGTCCCTCCACGGGCCGTCCTTCCACCAGTCGTCGCTCTTCTTCTTTTTCTCGTCGTCGTCGTCCCGACTGTCATCGTCCTCCTCCTGCTTGTCGTGATCTCCCCTTCCTCGGGAAGGGCTCCACCATGGGTCCGACGGGGGGCTGTCGCCTGCTGCTGCTGCCGACGCCGGTCCTGCCGTCGACCCTGGTAGCCCTCGCCCTCGGTCGGCCGGCTCTGGGTCTCGCGTGGTCGCGGCCCCTGCCGCCGTCAGTGCCGCTCGCACTGAACTACCCACGAGTTCCCGGAGCTGCTCCACGGTGACCGTCACTGTGGCTGTCCCCTCTGCCCTCGCTGCAGGGCCCGAGGAACTTCCGCCCCGGGTCACCGTCGCCATGAATGCATCGCCGGCTCCTCCGCCGGGCTCTTCGTCTGCGGGCATGCTGTTGTGGATCCGCGCCTCCACGCTGGCGCGAGTCTAGCTCCACCGGGGGCCCGCGAGCCGCGCGCGCCTGACCCCCTAAGGAGTCGGCCGCGCCGCCCATGGCCTGCCTGACGGGACCAGGCTCCGCTCCCAGCTGTGGCAGCAGCAGGGTCACGAAATGTTTTTCCCTTGAGCCAACGTGGGCGAATCACGAATGAATCTAGGCAATGATTCCCAAACGCTAGATCTGTTCACAAAATCTGCTCGCCAGCTTCAGACGGCCGCATTGTCATGACACTCCCGCTCCTGCCTGCCCTTTCCAGCAAACTTCTCCTCCTCTCGCGTGTATGAGTTTTTTAAACGAGTCACGACAACGCCCATCACTAGGGCCGCCGCCCACATCCTCCCCTGTGCACCCTCGCGAAATTCGCGCCTGCAGACCACTCGGGAGAGCCCTACAAGGATCTCCCGAGCCTCCAGTGACCTCCGAAGATCTCTAGAAAGACGTCGGGGACCCCAGGAAGCCTCTGGAGGTCTCCAGACGACGTCGTTCGTCGTCGCGACGAAGTCGACGTCGACGCAGCCGTCGCCGTCGCCAACTTCGTCGTCGGCTTCGTCGTCGTCTTATTCGTAGTCTTACTCTTCGTCGTCGTAGTCCCGAGCCGCTCACGGACGCCGCGGTCACAAATGTTGACGTAGCCGGGCCCCTCCCCCCAAGTGGCGCACATTATCGCCAGAGAACAAAAAACTAGCTCTATCATCACAGTCGTTGATATCATCCTCCACAACAACCATCCATATTCTTACTGCTCGCTCTTGAACGTTCGCGTGCCATTCAACATGTATAACACAAAACCTCGACTCACTCCGCAGTCGCTGAGGAACGTTTCTCCTTCCGAGGGGGTCTTTTCCATGCCAGCTTCTGAGTGACCCTGAACAGGGAAGCACAACTGCTTCGGGCGGGCGGACCCTAACGAGCGGGCCAGGCGGCTGTGACATTCAAATGCGATTCCTTCATAAATCTTGGGGAGGTATTGGGCGAGAGTACGATTTCTCAGGACTTGGAAAAGTCCTGGGCGAGAGTGCGATCCCTGAGTATTTCTAACAAAGATGCGAAGAAGTCCCAAGCGAGAGTACGGTTCATGAGCAGCGACAGCGCGATTCTAAAACAGGTTATGAGGAAGTCCCAGGCGAAAGCGCAATTTAGTCGAGCGCGAGGAAGTCTCGGGCGATCCGAGGAAGTCTTAGGCAGTGGCCGCTGCTGCTGTAGCCGGGTGGCCAGAGACACAGTTTGAGCCCGAAGACTTCCCCTGGCAGTGAAACCACGGGTGCGGGCCCAAAGGGGGGTGAGGACTTGAAGTATACGGCGGGCACGGGACGTGGGGGATCAACAATAATTAAACTTCAGACCCTGACGTCCGACGATGTGCTTTGTTCCAAGCGCGGCCCCAGAGGTCCCGACCACTTCCTGGGGAGTAGCTTGTCGTCCCAGATCCACTTTACATGATCCCGAGGCACCACCGAGGATTAGGTCGGGCATGTCCCCCTACAGGCGGACTCTGGAAGAAAAATTGAAGATTGTCACATGATGCTGAAAAATTGCCAAAAATACTTCAGCGAGAAGTCGTCCCCTGATAATTTCTTGTCTTTTTTGCATCCTCCTCCTGCAGAGGGACGTGTCCGCCTCGACCGAAGGCCCCTGACGCCGAAAAATCATAGGAGGGCGCCGGGGATGGAAAAAATGAGAATAGGGCGCTAGGGCGCCGGGGAATTGCGAGCTCGACAACATCCTGCGGCCCCCGACCCCCGACGTCATGATTTTTTCATTACGCGATCCCCAGAGGTCCAGACCTATTCGCCGGGACTGGTTTGTCATGCTGAATCGTTTTTTGACGGTCCCAAGGGCCAGTAAGGGCCTCCAGTCGCCGAAAGTACAGAAAAACCTCCCGCCGTGACTTTTTCATGACTCGAGGGGGTCTGGGGCTGCTCTCCCAACAACGGCCCCGCGCGGCCGCGCACGGAGGCCGCGGCGGGCGGAGGCGGCCTCGGCGTCGCCGCCGTCCCTCAGGACGGCGAGGAGCTGCCACCTCGGGCGTCCAGCCGACCACTCGGCCCAGCAGGACTGCCCAGTGTCAGGGCGGCGCTGGGCGGCGGCGGCGCGCCAGGCGGCGGCAGTGGCTGGGCGGCGGCGCGCGTGAGCCCAGACCTCCAGCGAACTGAAGAAACGCAGTTTTGGAGGAAGAGGAGGAGGAGGAACAGGAGGAGGAGGAGGAGGAGGACGAGGACGAGGAGGAGGAGGAGGAGGAGGAGTGGGGCCAGGAGGAGGAGAAGGACGACGAGGAGGAGGAGAAGGAGGAGGAGGAGGAAGAGGAGGAGGAGACGGGGGAGGCGGGAAAGGAGGAGGAGGAGGAGGAAGAGGAGGACGAGGACAAGGAGGAGGAAAAGGAGGAGGAGGAGAAGGAGGAGGAGGAGGAGGAGGAGGGGGAGGAGGAGAAGGAAGAGGAGGAGAAGGAAGAGGAGGAGGAGGAGGAGCGAACGTCACCTAAAGGGCAAGTCCGTTCGAGCAACTAGCCTCTGCGGAACGCGGGCAGCGCGGGCGCCGAACGGGAAACACGCTGGTTTACGCTGCTTCGGCGGAGGAGGTCAGGAGGGTCAGAGGTTGGGAGAGACGACGGACGGGGAGAGGGGACAGGACGTGGCGGCCCTGCCCCACCAGCGAGGTCGGCAGGCAACCTCAGGGCGCGTCGGGCAGCGCCGACCGCGGCGCTCTGCTTGGCGTAGGTGAGCGGCACGCCCTCGGCCTTCGTCACGTGGTAGACGCGCGTGGCGATCGACATCCTGGCGACCGCGCTCTCGATCCCGTTCTCGCCGTTGAACTCGCCGTCAAGCGGTGGCAGGTCGATGCGCGCCAGGAGCTCACCGCTCAGCAGACGGCGCCGGAGGGCCAGCTGGTGCCACATGCGGCCGCAGACCATGTAGTGCTTGAGATGATCGCTGCCCTGGCCATCGATGCAGTCGAAGTGGCAGCAGCGCTTCGCCTGGAGGACGTGCATCCTGCACGACGTGGTCCACGTTCCAGCTAGCATCTTGATAGTTAGCTGACCACACTCGCGCGGAGGGAGCGTGGCCAGGTGCTCGCGGAGCCTCAAGCATCGAGCTCGAAGATCACGTGGAGTAGGATCTAGTTGAATAAGGTCTGGCTGGTTGGTCATAACATTGCTGCTCAGCCGCCCTCCACAAAACCAGCAAAATGTTCCGGCGGACGCCTCCCGGAACGTTCCGGGCGCCGTCGGGCGGGCGCTCTGCAGGGACGGGAACCAGGCCAGCAGCCGTCGCTTGATAGTGTCTGCCATGGTGTCGGTGCAGATGTTCTCGCGCAGCGCGTTAATGCACGCTTTCTGCGGCGCCATGCGCGCGCGGCCAAGCCCTGCACGAAGAGCGGCTCGATGCCCCGCCTGCGCGGCGCGCCTGCGGCCGGCAGTCACGGCTGCGCGAGCGCGCGGGCGAGGACACGCCGTCCTCATCAGCCTCAGGAAATGCGAGCCCTTGCCCATTGCGAAGAAGGTGGATTTGGCGGCACCCTCGAAGCGCTGCACGATGGCGGTCTTGATCGCCCAGCAGCCGTTGCACCAGGCGCCCTCCATCACCGCCAGGATGGGCAGCTGCTCGCAGGCGGCATCGCAGAGGTTGCTGGAGGGCCGCGCGCCACGCAGTGACCGTAGAGGTTGCGGCTCTCCACGTCGTGACGGACAGGCACGTCTCGATGTCGCTCGGGAACGCGATATTGGTCCACAGGGCCATCGTGAAGATGCCCGACTTCGCGAAGCTGGGCATTGCAATGCGCAGCAGCTTGTGGATGGCCTGGAGCCCCTTCAGCAAGATGCCCTCGCGCGGCTCGACGAGCTGGCCGACGTGGCCGAGGCAAGTGACGGCGGCGACGTCGTAGTGCTTAAGCGATCGCTGCAATGGGGCGCGCGATGTGGCGAGCTTCTCGACGCGACCCCACCATTTCACGGATGGGCCGCGCCGCTGGTCCTCGATGGTGGCGCCGGGGCCGATGAAGAAGCCGAGGTAGCGGGCCTCGTCGGCGACCTTGAAGTCCTTCCACGGCTGGCGGACAGAGGCCAGGATCTGGCGCATGTCGTCAGTTATGTTCTGCGTCGGCAGGCTCAAGGTCGGGGCGACGATGCACTTCTTGGCATGCAGGCGAAGGCCTGCCAGCGTCTCGACTGCCAGCATGCGCGGGGCGGGCTTCTCGATGTCTCGGAGTCTGGCGAGGATGGCCCCCAGGTCGTCAGCGCACGCGCTGAGGGGCCCTCGCGCAAGTACGCGTAGTTCGCGGCGGACGGCAACGGTGATCGGGTCAAAAACGAGCGCCCAGATGGCGCCGCTGAGCGGGCAACCTTGCGCCACGCCGGACGCTGCGACCAGAAGCGGGCGACGTTCACCTCCCGGCTCCAGGACGGAGACAGGCCAGAAGTAGAACGCGGGCAGCAGATTCAGCATGCGGCCGTAGATGCCCCAGCGCATGAGGACCTCCCACATCCACTGGCGAATCAGCGGCCGCGCGCGTGGCAGCTTTCAGCGCCCTCCACTTCGCGCCGGGGATCATCTGCGCCAAATTCCGCAATATGTTCTGGCGGGCGCCTCCCGGAACATTCCGGGCACCGTCGGGCGGACACTCTACTCTGCCGGGGCGGGAACCAAGGAGCCGAGGGCGTTCTTGATGTGCTGGTAGTGGGCTGAATCGAAAATGAACGCAGGCACGCCCCGTTCACGCTGAGGCCTCGGCTTCCTCAGGCGGACGCGCAGGTACACGATCTTGTTATCGCCGATGGGCCCTGACTTGTCCTCGAGCGGGGAGTCGCCGGCGATGTAAAGCACCTCCATCATCGGCATTAGATGGTTAGGTAAGTTGATGAAGCAGCGATCGATCGTGGACTCGCCCATGTCGGCCTCGGATCTGCGCGCGGTCGACGCGGCGGCACATTCGGTGAAGTCGCGGAACAGGCTGCGCCAGAAGATCGGTTGGCACTGGTACCGCTGCGCCGCCGTCGTGTCCGAGTCGACGGGCGAGTTGATGGACTTGGGCAGAAACTCGGAGACGCTGAAATCGCCCACGATCGTGAGCAGCCGCTGCTGCGGCAGTTCATCCGCATGCTCTCGTAGCGCTCGCCATTATGCTTGCAGACGCTGGCTGTCGGCACGCGACAACCCGTGGTTGTGGATGCTGAACACCGTAACATCGAACTGGAGGCTGGCATTCGCGACGCGCAGCCAGGTGGCGCGGTCAAGGATGACGACCTCGAACCTGTGGCGAGGCCGTTGTTCGGGTGGAAGCTGAAGCTCGCGTCTGTCGCATGGCACGAGGAACCCGACGCCGCCCGCGTTCGTGACGGGAACGTTGCCCACTATGACAGGCGAGTGATACGGCTTGTAGGCGTGCTGCGTCAAATTGGCGAGGAGCTGCAGGTCGTCGAAGGTCCCTTGAGTTTCTTGCACAGCAAAGTGAGCGCGTTGGCGAAGGCATGGTAGTAGTAGTAGTAGTAGTAGTAGTAGCAGTAGTAGTAGTAGTAGCAGTAGTAGTAGTAGTGGTGGTGGTGGTGGTAGTAGTAGCATTAGTAGTAGTAGTCGTAGTAGTTGTAGTTGTAGTAATAGTAATAGTAATCGTAGTCGTAGTCGTAGTCGTAGTCGTAGTCGTAGTCGTAGTCGTAGTCGTAGTCGTAGTCGTAGTCGTAGTCGTAGTCGTAGTCGTAGTCGTAGTAGTGGTAGTAGTAGTAGTAGTAGTAGTAGTAGTAGTAGTAGTACTAAGAGTAGGAGTAGGAGTAGGAGTAGGAGTAGGAGTAGTAGCAGCAGCAGCAGCAGTAGTAGTAGTAGTAGTAGTTGTAGTTGTAGTAGTAGTAGTAGTAGTAGTAGTAGCAGCAGTAGTAGTAGTAGTAGTAGTAGTAGTAGTAGTAGTAATAGTAGTAATAGTAGTAGTAGTAGTAGTAGTAGTAGTAGTAGTAGTAGTAGTAGTAGTAGTAGTAGTAGCCGTCCTTTGTCACCACGTATTTGGTCAGAGCGCCCGAGGAGAGCTCGCGTGTTCCAGAATTCTATATTCAGCTCATTTGCGAGGGCGACAGGAGCCACGCGCTCCAGCGGTGGCTAAATAAAGCCACTGCGCAGCTGTGATGGCGTCCGCGAAGTTGCTGGCGAAGTCGGTGTCGATGTCACGCTGGGTGGCCTCATCGAAACCGCGGTCGACGCCAGCGTTGGACCACTGCAGGCGTGTGGAAGCATCAGCATTAGCACCCATATGGTTGGAGACGTAGCCAAGGGACCGATGAGCGCGTAGATCGAGGAGGGGCTTTTTGTTCCCCAATCAGAGCTTGCCTCTGTAGGGTTCATACCGGACACATAATTATGGTTAGGTTAGGTTTACCGCCGATTTTCGCCGCACGCCTGGGTGCCCGGGTGCCCGGGGGTGCTGGGTGCCCGGGTGCCCGGGTGCCCTGGTGCCCGGGTGCCCGGGTGCCAGGGTGCCCGGGTGCCCGTGTGCCCGGGTGCCTGGGTGCCCAGGTGCCGGGGTGCCCAGGTGCCTGTGGTAGCCCTATATAGCCCCAAAGCCCTATAGCCCTGTAGCCCTATAGCCCTAATAGCCCTATAGCCTTATAGCCTATAGCCCTATAGCCCTATGGCCCTACAGCCCCATAACCCTATAACCCGAATAGCCCTATAGCCATATGGTCCTGTAGCCCTGTAGCCCTATAGCCCCATAGCATTCTAGCCCTATAGCCGTATAGCCCCATAGCCATAAAGCCCTAAAAATATTACGATTGGGTTTTTCCTCCAGGATCATTATGTATGATCTTGACGAGGTGCTTTGCTTTCACTTCTTGGCGTACCAGTGTCGCTTCTGTTCGGGCTACTGTCTGCCGACTGACCTGGAAGGAGTTGCGCTTGGTTGGCGGGGCCAACGGTGTTGAAGATGACGTGGGCATGCTCGATCTTGGCAGCGTCGAGCCAGGGTGCAAAGGCACTTTCCAGCCCGGGCTGGTTGAACTCCTGCGGGCTGCTGCACCGGAAGACTGTCGGGTCGGGGTCTCTGTCCCACGTGCCGAGGCTGTCGAGATTGAGAGCAGGCGCTCGAGCTTCAGCCTGCGAGACGAGGTTCTCCACCTTGGCGACAAACGCTTTGAGCTTTGTGTTCGAGGCATCCAGCGCTGACGTGCGAAGGGTGACAGCCGTGAGGGAGCGCTCCGTGGCTTCATGGCGCTTGCTGAAATCGGCAGTGACGGCAGTGAGCGACCCGAGGAACTCTTTGCCTGCTGCAGCTGTGACGGCCTTGGCTGTGGCTTCAAATTTGGCGGCCGCCTCTTTAACCTGCTTTTCCAGGGTTTCTTCGAGATGCTTGCGAACGTGTGCGGGAAGTTCTTGAACAGGTAGCTTGGCTGCGCTGGCAGCCCAAGGATCTTAGCGCTTGTCTCCAGGTCCGTGGACAGGCTCGGCTGCTAGCTGGTCTGATGCTGATGCGTCACCTGACATTCCCATGGCGAATGATATGTAGGCCAACCGCAGGAGAATGCGGAGGCACTGGGTATGAAGCTCAACCTCGCGGGCACAAGGAAGGCGTGAACAAACGTTCGATGCTGTCCCTGGACCAAGGTCTCCGTGCTCTGCCACGGGGCGAAATCATCTTGAGCCAACAAGGCTACGGTGGAGGAAGAGGAGGAGGAGGAGGAGGAGAAGGAGGAGGAGTGCAGTTTTCGGCCCCTGGAGGCTCTCCACCATGCTGCAGGTCCTTTTCCCGTCCGAAGGCAGCTCGGGATGCAACAGCGGCCCTGGAGGAAGGGTTAGGGGCGTCTTGGGGACGCGTGTGGAAAGCTGGGAGTTTGCGTCGCTGCATGTGCCTCGCTGTCGCGCACCCCTTCTCTGCACGTGCAAAGCTTCTTTCGGTCGCCCCCCATCGACATACGCTCGTTGGTAATCAGCTGAGCACAACCCCCCAACACCTTCGCCGAGTTGGACCAACGGGTCGCGAAGTGAGACAGGATGTCTGGGAGCTTTGCTGGGGACGACGGCGGCGCCGCCGCTCAGCGGCGGCGGTGCGGGGGCAGCCTCGCTGGGTGGCGGTGGCGCGCCGGGGCGGGGGAGGGGCCGAGGGTCTCCGAGGGCCCCGGCGGGCTCTCGTCGTGCCAAGTGTCTGTTCTCGGGAGCGGGGGAGGGGCCGAGGGGCTCGTGAGGGCTCGGCGAGCACTCGCCAGGCCCCTCCATGCTTACCCGTGCGACTCCCGTGCGACTACCCCAAGAAGGACGGAGCGGCTGCTCGGCTCGGTATGCGTCGGCGGCGGCACTCGACAGCGGCAGTGCTGGGCTACGGCAGCGGTGCTCGGCAACGGTGCTCGGCAACGGTGCTCGGCGGCTTCGCTGGGCGGAGGCGCGTCGGCTTCGGGCCGACCCAGCAGGAGCCATGCCGTGATCAGGCCGCGCCTGCAATCACGCCGTCGCGCTCGCCACAACGGCTGCGGGCTGGCCACTGCGATCGCGATCGCGTCCTGCTCATTCTCCTCCTCATCCTCCTCATCCTTCTCCTCCTCCTCCTCCTCCTCCTCCTCCTCCTCCTCCTCCTCCTCCTCCTCCTCCCCCTCCTCCTCCTCCTCCTCCTCCTCCTCCTCCTCCTCCTCCTCCTCCTCCTCTGTGCCTGCCGGTCTCACGGTGGGAGGCCACCGCTGGGTGTGGAGGCAGTCCAGGTGGGTTTGTCGTGTCTGCCTAAGGCGCAGCCTGCGGGACCCTCCCCTGCCCACACCTGTTTGCAAGCAGGCTCACCCTGAGCTCCCCGCTCTGTTCGAGAATTCTCGCCTCCACCACCTGCACGTTTCCCAATACCCTGGAGGGGTGACATTAATCTGCACGGCCTGTGGATGCATGACCAAATCAGGACGACTCAACAACCTTGCGGAAGACTGCCTTGGGGAACCCACCAGTGACCACCTCAGGTCTAACATCAAGCGAGTGCGGGAGGGTAAGCGTCCCTCGCACGCTTAGGGCAACAACATTGTCCTTGATGAGCTTGTCCCTGTCTCCCAGCTGATCGGTTGAATCGCTGGGTTTGTTAAGCACGATCGGGCATAGCTGGAGGCGAGAGCGGGTGAAAAGAGACGAGGGGGGAAGGATGCACAAGGATCATCCACGGAAAGCGACCACCATTACCTCCACCCACTTCCGCGCAAGTTCCGCCGGCGCCCCAGGAGGGGGGGGGGACATTTTGTGAATCACACCCTGGCTCGGCGCTGAGATGCACCATTTATCCCATTAAGTGAGATAGCGCTGTCTTGTTATTTAATCGCTTCGCTCATTCCGCCGGCCCGTATTGTGCCCTCGCTGGCGTTTGGGCTTTTGGGGGCCTTTTGGGGTCCTCGTTGGGGGTTTCTTAGGGCCTCTTGGGTTTCTGTTGGAGCCTCTTTGGGGTTTCTTGGAGCTCATTTGGGAGCATTTGGGAGCATCTTGGGGCTTCTGGGAGCCGATTGGGAGCTTCTTGGGGGCCTCGTGAGGGCCTTTTGGGGGCCTCCTGGGGCTTCAAAGGGGCCTTTTGGCGCATCCTGGGGGCTTCTTAGGGCCGAGGGCTCGAAATGTTGTTTCGTGTTCCCCCTCTGAAGCTCCTCTTAGAGCGTTCGTGGGACCCTCTTGGGCCGTCTTGGAGGCATCTTGGGCCGTCTTGGAACCCTCTTGGGCCGTCTTGGGGCCCTGTCGGAGGCCTCTCGGTCCTCTTAGGGCGATCTTGGGGGCCTCTTGGGCCGCCTTGGGGCGTCGCGATGCCGAAAAGGTGGAGACGCCAACATCTCCCCAAAACCTAAGGAAAAACAATGAATTGTGCCTCTTGGGGCCCTCTTGGGAGTGCTCTTGAAAGCCTCATGGGGCGTCTGGGGGCTATCTCGAAGGCCTTTGGGGGGCCTCCTGGGGCTTCAAAGGGGCCTCTTGGCGCCTCCTGGGGGCTTTTTAGGGCCGAGGGCTCGAAATGTTGTTTCGTGTTCCCCCTCTGGGGCTTCTCTGAGAACGTTCTTGGGGCCCTCTTGGGCCGTCTTGGAGGCATTTTGGGCCGTCTTGGAACCCTCTTGGGCCGTCTTGGGGCCCTGTCGGAGGCCTCTCGGTCCTCTTAGGGCGATCTTGGGGGCCTCTTGGGCCGTCTTGGGGCGTCGCGATGCCGAAAAGGTGGAGACGCCAACATCTCCCCAAAACCTAAGGAAAAAAATGAATTGTGCCTCTTGGGGCCCTCTTGGGAGTGCTCTTGAAAGCCTCGTGGGGCGTCTGGGGGCTATCTCGAAGGCCTTTGGGGGGCCTCCTGGGGCTTCAAAGGAACCTCTTGGCGCCTCCTGGGGGCTTCTCAGGGCCGAGGGCTCGAAATGTTGTTTCGTGTTCGCCCTCTGGGGCTTCTCTCAAAGCGTTCTTGGGGTCCTCTTTGGCCGTCTTGGAGGCATTTTGGGCCGTCTTGGAACCCTCTTGGGCCGTCTCGGGGCCCTGTCGGAGGCCTCTCGGGCCTCTTAGGGCGATCTTGGAGGCCTCTTGGGCCGTCTTGGGGCGTCGCGATGCGGAAAAGGTGGAGACGCCAAAATCTCCCCAAAACCTAAAGAAAAACAATAAATGTTGCTTCTTGGGGCCCTCTTGGGAGTCTCTTGGGGCTCCTTGGCGGCGTCTTGGGGGCCCCCAGGGCCTCTTGGGGGGCTCTTGGAGGCCTCTTAGGGCGGGAGGGGGGGTAGTCGATTGCGGCTCCCCCCTCGGAGGCCACGATCCTCGTGAGGGGTGTCGAAAAATGGCCCTCCCCTGGAGTGCTCTGGTGGCTCCTCCCGGGACCTTGCCGGGGTACTTTTCGTCTGGGGACCCCCAGGGGCCGCCCCGCGCGCGCGAACTAGAAATACTGTGAACCAGTTACCGGAGATCTTAGCACGCCTCTGGCCCGTTGGGCCTGCGAATTATGTCGCGGCATTATTTGCGCGCCGATGCTCTTGTATATAACGAGTCTGCGGGGACAGACTTGTGGCGATCAGGTCGGTCCTGATGCACTTGATACAAATACGTAGCACCGTTTTCTGTATAACCATAGCTGCTGGTTCAGCGCAACTTGGAATGTAGAGTAGGCAAATATTGAATTTGTTTGTAGCCTGCCGCCTGACAGCCCCAGCCTTGCACTGCTTGGGATTATTCGTGGCTGTTCTCTGTGGGTTGGGCCTTGTGGCATGCTGGTTAGAGAGCCGCCATGTGCCGCTTAGCGATGCAGGGTCGGCCCTCCAACCTTCGTTGCTGGATGACCCAGCCTTGCTCCTCCTCCTCCTCCTCCTCCTCCTCCTCCTCCTCCTCCTCCTCATCATCATCATCATCATCATCATCATCATCATCATCATCATCATCATCATCATCATCATCATCATCATCATCATCATCGTCATCCTCTTCCTCTTCCTCCTCCTCCTCCTCCTCCTCCTCCTCCTCCTCCTCTTCCTCCTCCTCCTTTTCCTTATAAATAACTTTCCCCTTTCGCACCCCGAGGACAGTTGTAGGGCGGGCCCGGCGTTTCGCCTGAGATTTCCTCACAGCTTATGACTCTGAAGCTTTAAAAGTGGCAACAGTTTCACAGATGGAGGGCAGGTGATGTTCAAAATGTGGCTCTCGCCTTAGCGCCGCGCACGTTCGTTTCAAACAATTGCAAGAGATTAACGGATTGAGGGAGGGTCGTTTGCGAAATCTGGCTTCCGCCTTAGCGCCGTGTACATTCGTTTTACAAAATTGCAAGAGTTTCACGAATTGAGGGCGGGTCGTTTTCAAAATAGGGATCTCGCCTTAGCACCGCGCACATTCGTTTTAAACATTTGCATTAGCTTCAAGGATTGAGGGCGGGGGGGGGGTCAAAATGTGGCTCTCGCCTTAGCGCCGCGTACATTCGTTTTAAACATTGCAAGATCGTCAAGGATTAAGGGCGGTTCCTGTTCAAAATGTTGCTCTCGCCTTGGCGCGGCGCACATTCGTTTACGAAAATTGGAAGAGTTCAATGGACTCCCATCATCAAAGTGCCAGAAATTGTGTCGTGAACGGATTCAGGATTCTGCGGGTGCAACAGTCATGTTGATTCGCGGTGCCGAAATCCCACAAACGGCGTTCTGGCACAATTCCAGATCGTCAAGACGAGGCAGCCAGGTTGATCAGTGGGGTTGAAATCCCGAGAAAGGTGTTTTGGCATGCTTCAGGGTCTTCAAACGGTTGTCTTCTAACGAGGCAGTTCCCTCGGAGGGTTAATTCCAACATCGTTGATGACTCTTGGGTTTACACTGGTCCTCCTCCTCCTCCTCTTCCTCCTCCTCCTCCTCCTCCTCCTCCTCCTCCTCCTCTGCCCGCGGCTGCGCCAGCTTTCCCGAAGTGCGCCGGCGCCGTCGCCTCCTACGGCCTCGGGGTCGGCCAGCCCCAGCACGATGTCTGCCCGGGACAGGCCCAGCCACGCGTGCTTTGCCACCAGCAGCGGGTCGGGCCCCGGCCACGTCCGCACGGCCTCCTCCAGAGCCTCCACGGACCCCGGGCCCTGCGGCGGCGCGCGCGGAGGGGTGGGGCCAGGCAGGGGGGGGGCCTTCTGAGAGGGCAGGGGGCTCTCTTAGAAGCTCCCCTGCCTCCCACGGTGCTCTCTCACACACCTCCGACCCTTCCGAGAAGCACCCTGCCTGCTCAGTAGGTCAACCCCCTCGCCCCACCACCCTAGGTGCTCGTTCGGGGGACTTTCCCGGAGCCACTCGCTCCACTCATTCGTCGATGCTGCGTCGAATGTCCGTCGCCTGGAGTCGAACTTGAGTTGAACTGGAGTCGAACTGGAGCCAATCGGACAGATCCATGAGGCGGGCCCCAGGAAAGTTCCCATAACTCAGCTGCCCCGATACGCCACACGCAACCCGCAGCGTGCTGACACGAATCTCAACGCGCAGGCCGAAAACGCTGGTCTGGCGCGATACGCTCGCCAAAACGTGGGCCAACATGCGCCGAGCCAACAAGCAGCGTGTTCCACTCAGACGGTTTGAGCACTCGGCGGCGAGCCTTAGGGAAGTGAGAAGGGGCGGCCCGTCTCAGAAGGCTTGGATGTCCCCTGGCCATCCGAGATATGTCCTAAGCCTTCCCTGAAGACACAGAAAGCTTCGCGGAAGGCGCCAGCGCTCCTGAGAAGCCCCGCCCCCTTCTGAGAAGGCCCCATCTCCTTCTCGTGAACCCCCTCGCTCGCCGCCGAAATGCGGTACGCGCTGCGCTGCAAGGGCGCATCAGGGCAGCTCCGCCCCCCAGAACCCTGACCTTCCAGGGTGCTAAAAGATAGCCATCCAGACCTGTAGACCGACCTGGACTACCTACAACCTCGACGGGCATTTGATGCCGAGGTCCTGGTGCTATGTTTTAGCCCTCCTGAAAGTGCACGGTTACCCCCAGTGCCGTAAGCGACCCGAGGAGGAGGAGGAGGAGGAGGAGGAGGTGGAGGAGGGGGTGGAGGAGGAGGAGAAGGAGGAGGAGGAGGTGAGGGGGTGGAGGAGGGAGGAGGAGGAGGAGGAGGAGGAAGAGGAGGATGGGGGTGGGGAGGAGGAGGAGGAGGAGAAGGAGGAGGAGGAGGAGGAGGAGGAGGAGAGGAGGAGGAGGAGGAGGGGAGGAGGGAGGGAGGAGGAGAGAGGGAGGAGGGAGGAGGGAGGGAGGGAGGAGGGAGAGGGGGAGGAGGGGGAGGGGGAGGAGGAAGGAGGAGGAGGAGGGAGGGAGGAGGAGGAGGAGGAGGAGGGGGGGAGAGCGGGAGGCACGAGGGAGGAGGAGAGGAGGAGGAGGAGGAGGGACGAGGGAGGAGGAGGAGGAGGAGGAGGAGGAGGAGGAGGAGGACGGGTCGCCTAAGCCCCCCGGAGAAATCTGCCACCTCCTGTAAGGTCCGGGAGCGAGCACCCGAGCCGCCCCCCGCACGCGGCCAGGCCTCTCGGCAGGGCAGCTCGGCGGCGGCCCCATCGACACGCGCGCCGTACCCTGCCAGCAGCGCGAGGCCGCCGCCCGAGCCAGGCAGCGCCAGCAGCCGCGCCAGGCGCGCCAGCGGGAGGCGGTCCCGGAGGCTCGGGTGCCCCGCCCTGGCCAGCCGCGCCTCAGAGTTAGGTTTAGGTCGGGCGTGTCCCCCCCCCCCAACAGGGGGATCTTGGATGAAAAACAAAACATAGTCACAAAATACTCAGAAATAGCCAAAAATAGTCTCACCCCACACACACACACACACAAAAAAAAAAAAAAAACGCCCCGAGGTCGGGCATGTCCCCCTACAGGGGGATTCTGGAAGACAAATGAATCCAATCCAAAAAAAGAAGCACACAAATAGCCAAAAGTAGTCAAACAAACGTCCCCCGACTATTGTTTGACTGTTTTTGAATACGCCTCCTGTAGAGGGACAGGCTCGACTTAAGCCTAGAGGGCAGGACATCCGCCCTCATAAGAAGCACCCCGACGGGCGAAGCCGCTCCGTGAACGCACCCTGGGGAAGGAAGCGGACAGGGCAGGGCTGCCCAGTGAACGCCCAGGGCCGCTTCGCAAACGCCAATGGCCGGGTCTGGGTGTTTTTTTTCGGGCGTTGGCAGAACTGGGTTTAGTGGGACCTGGCTTAGTGATGTGTACTGGGGGACGCCCCCCCCCCCCGCCCAGTTCCACTGACCGGACCTGCCGTCACCCCCAAAAAAGACACCAGATGCGGTTCAGTGACTCTGGCCAATTCAGAGGCTCCAGGGCCCAACTACTAACCGGGTCCCCCTCCCTGGGGTGCTGGCTATACCCGATGTTTTTTCCCCCCTGGAGCGCCAGCACCCGGGCGCGCGCGGCCCGCGCGGCCGCGCCCATGGCGGCGGCGCTCAGGAGGTCCGCGCCGCGGTAGAGCGCGAGCACCGGCGGTTCTGGCACGGGGCCCCGAGGCGCGGGGCCTTGGAGCGGCCGCTCGTGTTAGGTCGGGCACGTCCCCTGCAGGCGGATGTTGCACGAAACATGAAAAATGATCAAAAAGTACTCCACAAAGTACTCCAAATAAAAACGTCGCCCCCAAAAAAAGTCCCCAGACTATTGTTATACTATTCTTGAATATTCTGGGACGCACAGAGACATACTAATACTATATGTCCGCCTTGGAGGCGCGCGTCCGACCCGAACATATAGTATACCCATCTTGTAGTATATCTTTTCTCGAGCGGTGTGGCCAGAAAGCGCCCGCCACGACGCATATACTACAAGATTTCTCGGTGCGCGCGTCGCCCCTGGGGGGGCGACGAACACATAGTATAAGTATGTTCTGGGGATGCCGAATCCTCCTGTGGAGGGACAGGCCCGGCTAAGCCCGGAGGCGCGGGGCCCTGAGCGGCCGCACGCAGAGGTGCCCCCCTGCGTTCTCTTGCTCCTCCGCGGGAGGCCCCCCAAGGGGCCGGGGGGGCTTGCCTGCGTCTCCCGCTGGCTTAGGATTGGAGGGCGGCAGAGGAAGCGAGGGAGAGGAGTGAGAGGAGGAGGAGGAGGAGGAGGAGGAGGAGGAGGAGAAGAAGGAGGAGTAGGAGAAGGAGGAGAAGGAGGAGGAGGCGTAGGACGAGGCCGAGGGGGACGCGACGGGCCCAGAGCGCAGAGGCGTCAAAGCGGGAGGGGCAGGCAGCGGAAGAGGAGGCGACGGAACGACGAGACACGACGGCAAGAGTGACCCTGGGCAAAGGCGGCCTCTGGTGCGCTGCTCTTGGGGGGGCCGCGGGGGGCCCAAGCCCGAGCGCGCAGGCCGGAGCCACCGCATCGCACTCCGCCAGCTGGGGGCCCAAGCTGGCCCGCACCGGCGGTCACTCTTGCGCGTGGCCGGCCTGAGGGCGCGTGGCCTCAAACCGTGGAGGCTTCGCCAGAGAGCGGTGCGGTGGGAGCTGCAGGTACCGTGCGCAGGCGCGGGCCCCGGGCGCGGGGCGCGGGCCCCGGGCGCCGGGCGCCCAGGCAGCGCCGCGCGCGGGGCGGCCCACTCCTCGAGGAGAAGGGCACCAGACTGCGAAGGTCCAGCCAGGGGTCCCCTCCTTCTCCTGGGGGCCTCCTCCAGAAGAAGAGGAAACAGCAGAAACGCAAACTTTTGGCGCTCCGCGCAGATTTCCCGGAGGCGCCGCCAGGGGGGTCCCAGCGCGGAACCAAGAAATCCACGCGGAGTTCCAAAAGTTTACGCATACGCCGTTTTTTCGGCTTCGACCACCTCTCGGGACCCCGCCCTTGAACCGCCGAGAGCAGGCGGCCGTCGTCCCCCGCGGCCCAGGCGGCTGCCGCCCCCACGGCGAAGCGCACGCGGGGGTCTGGCCGCAGCCTGGCGGGCAGCCGCAGCAAGCGCTCGGGGAGCTCGCGCGGCGAGTGCGAGAGCGCCAGCAGCAGCGCCAGGCGCTGGACCACGGGCTCCGCCGGCGACGCGAAGGCCGCGGCGCAGCCCGCGTCGCGCAGGGAGGCCGAAGAGCCGGAGGCAGGGCGCGGGGGAGACCAGGGCGGCCCTGCCTTGAGGCGCCTCGTCCTCTGGGGGGGGGGTCTCCGTGGTGCCTCTCGCCGCCACGGCTGGGTCCGCGCCGAAGAAGCCAGCCAGGACGGGCCCCGGGAGGGGCTCGCAAGGGCCGATGCTGAGCGGCTCTGGGCAGGGCAGGAGGTGTCTCAGCCAGCCCTCCTCCGAGAGAGGCCATAAGCGTCCAGCAGCGGCTGCAGGCACTGGCTGATGGAGTCCAACCCCAGCTTGTCGCTGGATTAGATGCTCGTTCTGGGGACCTTCCTGGAGGCGCTGCTGCGTGAGACGTCGATGCTGCGTCAGACGTCCACCGACTTGAGTCGAACTCGAGTCGGACCTGAGCCGAATCAGTCGAACCAGAGTTGAACTAGATTCTAACTGGAGTTGACCTGGAGCTAGAATCGAACAGATCCGTTAGGTGGCCCCCAAGAAGGACCCCAAAACGAACGTCTAAGCTGTAGCTCGCGGCGGCGCCGCCCCCGAGCAGCGCCATGCTCAGCAGCTCCAGGCGCAGGCACCTCTCGTGTGTCTCGATGAAGGCCTGCCCCGCCTCCACCGACCTCCCCTGCAGCTGCAGGTCGACGCGCACCGCGCGGGTGCGGTTACGGAGGTAGTCGTAGATGTCCGGGTAGGCGAGGCCCTCGGCCTCCTCCGCAAACCTGGAGGGCGAGCGCCGCCCGTCGAGGTCCAGCACCTCGCGCACCAGGAAGTCCATCGTGCGCACGCACAGCGCGGGCGTCCGCACCTCCTCGCCGCGGTACGCCCGGTCCGCCGCGCTGCGCTGGTACCTCTTCGTGGCGAGATCAGGGTCCGCCTCGGGCCGCGCCTGGGGAGACGACAACTAAACCAAACCGCAGCTCCACGGACCTCTCCTGGGGCGCGTTCTGGTCCAGAGTTCGAGGTGAGTCCAGCTGTGGTGGCGAGGGAAGCGTAGCGGTATCAGTATGTGTTCCTCCTGCGAGCGCCGGGTCGCACCCGCGCCGCCACTCCAGCCGGTGCAGCTGCCGCGTCCGCTGGCGCTCGCTCCGCTCCGCCTCGGAGCACATGGCCCCGAGGCCGCCCACCAGCCCGCCGCAGGCCGGCGCGCCCGAAGGATCTGCCGGACTGCCAGCCGGACGCAACATAGAGTCGCAGCTGTCGGCAACGGACGTGCAAGGCCTTGAGACCTCCGGGGTCGTGAAGCGGACAGCTGGGATGCCGGCTGCGGTCGTGCTTGCCTTCGGACCGAGCAGCTCGTCGTCGTCGTCGTCGTCAGGGATCGGGGTGCTCATCCAGCTCGACATTGCGGCGTGCTGCTACGATCTGCTAGGACCTGAAAGATGTGCGGCAGCTCTCCGTGTCCGCAGCGCCGCCCTCCACCCCGGCTCCCAGGCCCTCCGCCGGCGGCCGGGGCGCGGCCTGCCCGCGGCGCGGGTGGGCCATCGGCCGCGACACGAAGCGCGGGAGCGGCTCGTGCCGAGACCGCTGCAGGTATCCTTCCTGCTGCTGCTGCACCTTCTGCACCTCGTGCTCCTTCTCCTCTTACTCCTCCTCCACCTCTTGGTTTCCTCCTCCTCTTACTCCTCCACCACCACCTCCTCCTCCTCCTTCTGTTCCTCCTCCTCCTCTTCCTCCTCCTCCTCCTCCTCCTCCTCCTCCTCCACCTCCTCCTCATCATCATCATCCTCCTCTTCCTCCTCCTCTTCCTATTCCTCTTCCTCCTCCTCCTCCGCGCTCATCCTCCTTTTTCTCCTCTGCCTTTTCCTCTTCCTCTTCCTCCTCATCATCATCCTCTCTTCTTTCCTTTCCTCCCTTTGCTCCTCTCTCCTTCAATCCTCCTCCTCACTAACATCACCTCATCATCAGCAGCAGCATCAGCAGCAGAACATTAATCATCAGCAGCACATCATACATCCAGCTCATCTTCAGCAGCATATCTTCTTGTACCGCTCTCACCATCATCAACAACATCACCGTCATCATATCATATCATTTCATCATCTTCCTCATCATCATCATCATCATCACCAGCATCATCATCATCATCATCATCATCATCATCATCATCATCATCATCATTATCATCATCATCATCATCCTAATCGGCATTAGCATAAACATCATCCCTACCATCACCACCACCATCATCATCGTCAGCAGCAGCATAATCGACAGACTCAGCATCAGCAAAAGCAGCAACATCATCATAATCAGCATCAGCATCAGCATCAGCATCAGCATCAGCATCAGCATCACCATCAGCAGCATCAGCATCATCATCCTCATCATCATCGTCATCAGCAGCATCATCATCAGCATCATCATCATCAGCATTGTCATCATCACCATCATCACCATCATCAGCATCAGCGCCATCCTCCTCCAACTTATCATCCTCGTCCTCCTCCTCCTCATCCTTCTCGTCGGCACGCATCATCATTTCCAGCAGCACCACTACCATTATCAGCGTCACCATCAGAAGCAGCATAATCAACAGCATCATCATCAGCAGAAGCAGCATCGCCGTCAGCGTCTTCATGTTCCTCATCTGTCGTCTTGATCATTATGATCATCATCATCATCATCAGCAGCATCATCATCGTCATCATAACCATCGTCATCCCCGTCGCCCTCGTCGACATCGCCGTCGCAGTCATCCGCATCATCATCATCATCATCATCATCATCATCATCACCACCATCATCGCCATCATCATCATCACCACCATCAGCATCCGCATCATCATCATCATCATCAGCATCCTCATTATCATAGCCATCGTCATCATAGTCGACGTCGTCGTCGACGTCGTCGTCATCGGAGTCGAAATCCTCGTCGTCGTCACCATCATCATCAACATCATCACCATCACCATCACCATGTCGATCACCACCACCACCATCTTTGTCTTCAGCATCAGCATCAGCATCGTTAGCAGCAGCCGCATCGTCATGATCCTCACCACCATCGTCAGCAGCATCATCACCATCATCGTTTCCATCAGCCGCATCATCCTCATCATCATCATCATCATCATCATCATCATCATCATCATCAGCATCATCATCATCATCATCATCATCATCATCTGCATCAGTATCAGCATCAGCAGCATCCCCCGCACAATCCGCATCACCAACACCATCAGCATCATAAACATCGTGGTCATAATCATGACCCTCGTCGTCATCAGCATCATCATCATCATCATCATCATCATCGTCATCAGCAGCATCATCGTCATCAGCATCATCCGCATCATCATAATAATAATCATCAACCTCGTCAGCATCGTCATCATCTGTATCATCATCACCATCACCATACACATCGTTAGCATCAACATCATTATCATCATCATTATCATCATCAGCGCATCATCATAACCATCATCATACCATGATCAGCATCATCATCATCATAATCACAAGAAGCAGCATCAGCATCGGCATGAGAATCATCATCATCATCGTCATCATCAGCATCAGCAGAATCATTATCAGAAGCAGCATCATCAACCATGACAATGATCAACATTATCACCAGCATCACCAACATCACAACCATCGTCATCGTCATGATCAGCATCACCATCAGCATAATCATCATCCGCGTCAGCATCATCATCATCATCATCATCATCATCATCAGCGTCATGCTCATCAGCATCAGCACCAACAGCAGCAGTAGCCCCATCCTCGTCATCACCATCAGCAGAATCAGCATCATCATCAGCAGCATCACCATTACTGTTGTTGTTGCAAGTATTGCCACGGTTACCATCAGCAGCAGCATCAGCATCGGCCGCTGCGACCACAGACCGCACGATCGACAGGCGCAAAGGGCCGCCACAGAGTGTCCTCAGCCCTCCCGAGAGAATCGAAGTACGGGTCGTCCGCCATGGCCACCTGGCAGGAGAAACCCTCTGCCCATGCCACGGCTCCTCCTCGTCCTCCTCCTCCTCGTCCTCCTCCTCGATCCTCATCCGTCTTTCCTGTTCCTCTTTTTCTGACAGGACGCCTGCGCTGGCCTGCCGCAAACAGCAGGAACGCACAATAAGGAATGCCACTGTAGGATGCTAGCCAGCGCGGACCCCAACAAGTGTGTGTTCTAGCAATACGTATAGGCTGTGCAATCGATGTGGTGTACTATATGTTGTGCAATATACGGGGTGCAATGTATGTGGTGAACTGTACGTGTTGCAAACAATGCTGTGCTATATGAGTGATGCACTACATGTGGTGCAGTCGATGCTGTGCAATGTCAGTTTGCTGAACATACTTTTCGGTGCTAGTGAGGTGGAGTGTGGTCCGAGGGAGGTCGGGAGCCGTCCGTGATAACACTGTATACGCTCAAGTTTTTTGGGGACTCGGGGTTCTTCGGCCAGCCTGCGAGCTGACCTCGGGCGCAGGCGCCACGTTCTCCAAAGCTCACTTGTTTGCTGGCATCCTCGTCCTGCTGGGCGTCTCGAACAAGCTTGACGATAGCTCGGACGACGCCGAGGAGGAGGCCTCCGAACTAGCCCGAGAGCGAGGCTGGACACGAGAAGTTCGAGAGTTCGCCTGGGGGAAGGGCGAAAGCGTGGTGGAGAAGGGTACGCGCGCCTGGAGGATGGCTCCCTGGTTTCGGTGGAACCGTGCCTGCGACAGGACCGGCCCGCAGGGGACCTCGGGGAAGGTCATGTTCCTCGAAGGCGAAGGCGCATGGCAGGGGGCAGTCATGGACGGGTGCCGACCCTGCAGGGCGCGCGCGGACCATTGACCTGCGCGACAAGCGAAATCCTCGAACAAAG